AAAATTTTGAAACAAATCCCATGTCTTGGGAGTTGCAAAAAAACTTAGCGATTAATCATAGTACATCGAAACAATATTCGTGAATTAAAAAAGCGATAAAAATGCCGATTTTTGTAATAAATTATAATTTTATGATCGATTATTGTGCATCATTATGTCAATAATGTATATAGTTCTGTTCATCTAACTTTGATTTCTACTATTATACCAAAAAGTTTTTATCGATAATTAATCTATAAGGAATATTTTTACTGACAAATCGAGTGCTTATCTTATTTTACATCAATAAAACATGTATTAAAAATGGACAAAAAAAAAATACTAGTAGGATATGCAGTTTCTCATAGGTAAATGAGAACACATGCGCGAAAGAAAAAGAAAAAAGAAAAAACGTGCATATGTGCAAATTGATCTTTGAATGTATTTGTTTTCTCTGAGATCATGTTACACATTGTTACTTTCGTCAATAAATTAAATACGTAAAACAGACACAGGAATAGAAATCGTTATTAAAACATAAGACTAAAAGCATTATGAAAATAGAAGTCATTCAACTTAATATTTATCTAAGACTTAAAGACTCATCTAAAATTAAATCTACAATAGAAAAATTCTAATTACAAAAAAAAATGACTTGTTTTGAAAGTATATTTCAAATAATTGTTAATTGCATAATCTCGTAAATCTTATAGTAGTTACATATATGCTAAAACTAAATAGTTCTCTTGGTTTTTTAAATTCTTATAATTATAGTTAAAAATATGTAAAATTTATATTTAACTTACACTTTTACAAATCTTAAAAAATTTCTCTAATTAATTGGCAATTCATTATCAGTTAATGAAATTAATATATTCTCGAATATTACGAAAGAATTCGACATTTTGTGCATATAATGAATTATATAATTTTTCAACAAAACTGATGATATGGAAAGCAAAAACAACAAATTTCACCAAAGGCAGTATAAATTTCCGAAAAAGCAAAATGGTTTTCGAGAATATCGAAGAGATCTTCCGGAAATTAAATGACTTTCAAGATAAGTTTTAGCGGAAATTCATTTGATTTGAATCTTTTTTTGTATATGTGAAGATGAGAACGGAAATTAGCACACAAGACATATCATTTTGTCTGAAGCAAATTATATCTTTCTATGAATGCATCTAGAAACTCAATTAAGTTCTACTATAGAAAATATCATTTTTCTATCTCTATATCTTAAATATTTCCAACATATTCTATGTAAAGAATTCTTCAGATACAAAAGATATTTAATATTTTCGACATAGTAGAAGTTATATAATTTTTTACAACACTACTTGATCATTCAATAATTTCACTTGAAATAAAGAACCAATCAATTAAATGAAATCTCATAGATTTCTTTTACAAGGGATGTCTTAGAAGTTTGAAAGAAATTTGATGTATATAACAAAAACAAAATCTTTCTAATTTTACCCAACTAGTTTACCTATTTAATATTGACTAAGATACAATATTTCAGGTTTTCTGATCAAATATTAATTTTAATTATGCTAGTATTTTCTCTATCATTTATTGATATAAAGAAATATTAAATTATTCTAAGGTTTTTTTAATGTCGTTTTTCATTTGTTCAGTATTAGTACATGTTCACCTTCGTAAATCTTTCTCTGATATACATTCTAAACATTTTCTATACACCAAATATGTTGGGTAGTTTGATAGCAAGCTTTTTCGGTTCAATTCAATAGATGAAAATATGTTTAACAGCATTCGAAGTCATTTTCATCCTTTGTTTATAATCATGATCATCTTGAAAAAATAACAATGTTGTCAATCACATCATTTTTTAAGTTGTTGTTGTTTTTTTTTCTACTACGATAGTTTGAATGAAATTTGTTTTTCTATCGCTTGTTAAAATACAATTTCTAATTTGAATGAATGGAAAAATCGAAAAATATATTGCGAAAGTATTCTCATCTATTGAAAAAGCTACAGATGTCAAACGCTGTATTTATTTACTGTTTTCATTGATAAAAACATACATTTAGAGAGCGATACATAACATCGTTTTATAGGAAATCACAAAAAACTAATTTTCACGATTTTATATAAAATCAAGCTATGTATTACTCTTCAAATATGTATATTTATTAATGAACTTTAAAAAAACTGATACTACAAATACGATTATGTCAACGTCGTCTGCAAACTCTGACAGTTTCAGGATATATTCAGAAATAGTCGATATAAACGTGGTAGATATTCTATGGAATACCATATACATCAATCAATTTTCTTTAACGTTCTTTTCTGAGGGTAGTATAGAAGCCGGCGCATCGTACCAAATGTGAGTACTATATTAGTCGAAACTAAAAGTATCAGCCTATCTGGTATATTTATCATATGTGCAATATTATTTGTATGTATCTGTCTAATTACATCGATTATGCGCCAAACAACATACCATTATTCGGATATATCGGTGTTATAGTAACTAAAAAGACATACGATACATATTAGAGATATAAGATTACATTTTTTGACAACTTCTATAATTCCAATATCTTTTTACTAGGACTAAATGAGTTTTTCAGAAACTCTCAGAAAATATAAAATCGACAGAGGGCGAGAGCGAAAATATACACGTAAAGAACATCAATTAAGAAGCTCTATCAATATCTAAGATTTGGAGTCAAGATGTGCCCATTACCTCTATTATGCTGATTATGGCTTTCCTCAGGATAGATTGAATATTGTGTTAACTTTTTTATTGATTGAATATATATAATTGCAATCTATTAGGGAAGAATATACCATGAAATTCGAAAAATTTAACAAGAATATATTTCTAAAAATGAGAACGTATTATCTATGAGAAAATAAAGACATACTGAAATAAAACAAAAGAATAACCTGCTTGACAATGGTTTTGTTGGTGAATGATATCGTTTAATTTTATTCTAAACTTTGCTCTTATTATAAAATAAACGAAATTAAAAAAAAAACAAATTTGTAAACAACATACAAGCAAGAATAAAACCATTCACATCACTTTTTCTATGATGAAAAAATCTATGTTGTAAATGTAACAATGAATAAATTCTCTAAACAAATGAACTTTTTAAAATTAATATCATGCCTTTTTTTTCTCTTACTAATACATGGATTTTTATGTATCAATGAAAGAAATTGCTTTTTCAAGTCTAGCAATCTGATTATAAGATCTTGTATGATTTCATATACCAATCTTAAAGTCAATATTTCTGATAAAATCATTCAGAAGGATTCTTGTGGGATTTTACTATAAGATTTTGTAGCATTGATGTAAGCTTTCATGAATATTTCGAATGTATTTTACAATTAAATTTCTTGCTCTTGTGTACCTCTGGTATTCACCATTACATCATCTTGTTTTTCCTCTATCCAGTCTTTCCCTAGAAAAACTAAGGAAACTATTCACTTACTTGAATTATTACTTACATAAATATCATGCTTACCCTTTTAAACATGTTGCTGAATCTTATTTATTGATCATATGAATTCGATTAGTGATGCTATTTCTATATCAAACAGTTGTTTTTGATTGTAAAATATGTTTTCTGAAAGTTAGATGATACTTATTGAAATATCTAACAGAAATGATTGTAGTCTGCGAAACAACAAATAAATTGTCTTTCACTAAATAAAATTTAAATTCACAATCATTCATTGATATGTTTTTTTTTGCAAATATTATAACGTCAGGTCTATTGAAATAGTTCATCCCTTTTTTTTTTGTCTTCTACTTAATAAGAATTTTCTGCATATTGAGAACATAGAAAAATTGTGATAAGTATCGATTCACAAGCAAAGGTCCTCGACTAACGAACTCGAATAGATCTGGTTTTCTTTTTACATAACTAAGCCTCAATGAGACTAACAGAAGTCTGAATGGACAAGGATAATTGGACCTTTTTTCTGAAATTTTCAGTATCAAAACAAAATATCAAAGAAGATCATCTAAAGATTGAATTTCTATTTGAAATTTTGCCCAAAATGTATATCTAATTGTCTTTAGGAGATTGTGAAAGTTTCGACCAAAACCAATGATTCTTCATTGAAATATTCCCTTTTCAAATTCTATTTCTATTTTATTAGAATATTAGAAAAATCACATTTTTCTAAAAAATTCAATTAGTTGGGAAAGAAACATTTATTTCGATCGAAACTTTCCAGATTGTTTAAAATTCATTAGATGTATCAAGATTCTCGATTAGGAGAGAATAGGGAACTATCTCCCAAATGTCTGACTTTCTTCTAAAATCCCTAATACATTCTGCCTTTTCTTTACAGCTTTCTGATAACTTTGAACAGAAATCGAATTTTGAAACATCATGTAAGTCGTGTGTTGTTGGAGTGATGTTCAGATATGCAAAATTTCAGATCGAAACTCAGTTATTAGATGCTGTAAACTCATTAAAACAGCTATACCTTCTGAAACAAGACTTTAAGGCCTACTGTTCTTTCAGAGTTTTCCTAGTCTCACTTAGGTCTACTTATGTAAAAAGGTCAGCTTAATCGACGTTAATCATTTCGAAACATTCTCTCCTCAGTTTAATCTTATTATAATTATTATTAGTATAACAGCTGGATATGTTTTCTAAGTTGTTGACACATATTTTACCAAAGTGCTTTTATGATTAAAAATGTATGTAAAGCATATGTGCAATGATGCATAAAAAGAAGTACGATTCATTATAAAGAAAATGTCATTTTCTTTAAGAAATATAGAGAGAAAATACTCATAAATTTCTTTTTCTGTGTATTTTTTATATTTTCTCTATGCTGATTATAATGTCTTTTGTTTTGCTCTTGTTGAAAATATAATATATAAAGAGTGAACAATAGACCATATGAATATTACAAAAAAAGAAAAAGAAAGAACAAGAAACACCAGTCAGCTACTTACAAATAAAAGAATATATGAAAAATAACTTTTCTGATGTCAATTTTGGTGATATTTTTACTAATTTTTTATGGTAAGTCTAATAGTCAATAGGAAAATATTTATTTCAATTGTAATTTTAGTCAATATTGTTTCAAATTTGAATGATACAACTCAATTAGAAAATTTTACAATTGAATGGCAAAATTTTGATTTATTAAAATGTGCTGTACCAACAACAATTAATGTGTCTCTCTTTAATTGTTTACCATCACCTAATTATACACAAGTAGATGATATATCATGTCTTGAAGAATCAATAATGAACTTCCAAGAAAGTATGTGTCAATCTACATCGACGACAATGGTAAATATAAAAATTTTTAAAACGAGTAGTCTCACTACATATTATATTTTCAGTTACGTAAAATATAGCAAAAGAAGCTAATTTATTATTTTATTCTAATTGAAATTTTGTATAGATTGAAGTCATTGTTGAGTAAAATTTTCATTTACATCGTATATTCGAAGATAGAGATTTCTTATTTTTTTCATGTTTTGTATATAATTTCAGTCAAAACTATTTACTTGCAAAAAAAGTGTAAAAGTAAAACAAGATGACTTTCAAAAACAAAAAAAAAAAAAAGTCATTTTTGAAAAATTTTGTCATTTTAATCATATCTCACACAAAAGTCATTGTTGGTTTTTCATAGAGTTTTATAAATTGGGAAGGAACTACAACACAATCATCATCATTAGCAAGTTCTACTATTCAAATGACAAATAGTATTACAACTGATTCATTGCTAATTAAATCCAGTAGTGTATCTCAGATGTCATCAATGATAACAAACGATATAAATCACATAAAATCTAATATTACTAGTCAAACATCATCACCAACGGTGGTAAGTAGCACGATTCGAGCAACTACTATTGATAGAATTCAAACGTCGGTAACAACTGCTCATAGTGGTACTTATCATACATCAATAGCAACAACAATAAATCTCTCTACTACAATACCAGGAACAACAATGAGTCTATCTACTGTAAAGCCAACAATAACAATCGAATCTACTAGCACAATAACTGAAACATCAAAACAAACTACTAAAGAAAATTCATACGACTGTCCCGAAGATACAATAGGTTCTTCTTGTAATATTTCATCCGATGCATGTTCCATGTTACAGCCATGTTTGAATGCAGCAACATGTTTTCCAAATAATACATTATCATTAAAATATCATTGTCAATGTCAGTCAGGTTATACAGGTCGTGATTGTGAAAATGATCAAAGAATATGTAGAGAGAATACATGTTTGTAAGAAATCATTAAAACAAAAAACTTGATTTTATTTGTCTTCTATTTTATATAGGAATGATGGAGTTTGTATTGAATTAAACATTATTAAGATAACTAGCAACAATAATCAAACAAATTTCTTATGTGAATGTAAAAAAGGTTATTTAGGTATTCATTGTGAACTTAAAGTTGATTTTTGTGATAATATAACATGTCAAAACAATGGTATATGTCGTACAATTGATATGATTCCAAAATGTATATGTTTGGATTTAACACTTTTTTATGGTAAATATTGTGAATTTCAAACAACATCATTAAAAACTCGAAAAATTGTAAATAAATCATTTGCAAGTGTTGCAATAACAGCTATTATTGTAACATGTTCATTTGTCATATTGATGGATGTTCTTAAATATATATTTCATATTGATCCAGTTAAATCTGAACGTAAAAAATATGTAAAATCAAAACAAAAAAATCGAAGAAAGCAAACATTAAAATCTAATGTTACAAAACCTGCAATTAGATTTCTCTATGTCGCATAGAACAAAAAAGAAAATAACTCTTTTACTAAACTTTTTTTGATAAATACACATTGTATATTTCTTGTATCTTTAATAAAAAAAAAACAATTTTCATTCAATGTGTAATAACTCATTCTGATTAAGAAAAATATTTAGTACTATTAATGAATGATTTATATTATAGACAATAGTATAATAATACTATTTTTCGATTCAAGAAAATTTTCTAAAACTAATTTCTTCTAACATTCAGAAAGAATAACTCCGCTTTTCGATTACTTTGGCCTATGATACGTTGCCGAAAGGGTAGATTCAAACTTCATAAATCAAGCAAACTACGATCGTTAAAAGTCGGTTGGTCATGAATCAGCCGATCAAACAGGTTTTTGATGAAGATTTTTCGAAAACAATATTCTAAAGCTATTTTCTTTTCGGTTTAGACTTTTTATAGGATAAGTCGGTAGAAAAAAAATCTTCTCATTCTATATACATAAGGCCAACATTCCTAGCTTATTCCGTTTAAGAATGATAAAACTTTTCCTAAGACATCGGTTTCATATAATTGATCTGAGAACATTTAGAAAACCAACTAGACATGGATAATTGGCAGTATTGAGTTGAATAATGATATTTCTTTTTTTGGGGGGGGGGTTAGAAATTATTTGACCCTATGACTGAATATTTTTGAAATGTCGATGTCTTTCACCCATAGAGATCAAATGTAAAATTCAAAAATATTCGGATGACAGAATCAGATTAGTTCAAACGTAAAAATAAATATCACCATTCGACTCAGCATGATGGCTTACTACTATCCAGCTGCCATTACGAGTGACATCAGGAAAAGTATTATAACCCTCGAACGGAACAAGCAAGGGATGTCGTCTCTATATAGACCGAAACATAAAAAATTCTTTATATCGATCACTTCCAACAAAATTTCATATCGAAAGGAAAATAATTTTAGAAGATCGTTTTTGAAAATCTTCACCAAGAACTTACCCAATTGATCAATCGATGATCAAGAAAATTTCGATATATTTTGATAGTTCCGTATCCTCTCTCTTGAGTGATGAAAACCGCAGATCTCTATGACGTTTTTATTCAAGTTTCTCTTTCATCAATATTTATTTAAAATATTTGTTATATGATCAATTCCATTAGAAGTTATTTATTTCAATAAATTTTATAATAAAAATATTTTTTTCTTTTATGTACAAAATTTAATTGTTTTATTATGAGATTTATAAGTTAAATAGAGATATATTATAAATGATGTTCAAAAAAATTATCAATAATTGTTTCAAGTGTAATTGGATCATAACGAGTATATTTTTCTCGATTTCTTGTAAAATCTTTATTTGCAAATTTATTATAATAAGTTCGAAACATATCCATAATTAACATTTTGCCTTCTTTTCTTAAACGATCACGTAAATCAACATCACTAACAATATATTCTTGACATTGTTGTCGTAAATTATCAATAGCTGTATTAACAGATGCAAAACTATCTTTTAATTGTTCACGATCACGTAAACGTAACTAAATAATAATCAAATGAGCTATTTAAAAAAAGAAAAAAAAAACAAACTTTTCCATCAGATAAACGATGAACATTATCATATTCGAGCATTTGTTGAATAGCAATAACTAATGGAGTATAACTAAAATAGAAATAAATCATAATAAAATTTTATTTATTATTTTGTTTTCAACAATTTAACTTAATGCTATAAAAAATAAACACAAAAGATTAATTTTAATAACAAAAACAAAAAAAAATCTAGAAATGAAGTGCATATTTTTTTTGTTTTTCGATTGGGTCAGAAAATTCATTTTATTACTGTTAATAATTCACAAATGTTTCATTGTGAGTAGAGCTGCTTTCTTTGACTTCTACAATCTATTTAAAATAAGACACTAACTAGCTCACAATTATGCTACTAAAAGAAAAGGGATAAAATTGATAATAGAGTGTGGGTGAGGCTCGTGTATTCATTCCGCATCCACCAGAGTCTGTTGGATCAAATCCGAGCCTGGATTCGAAAATTTTGTATCCGATGGGCTCTAACATTCACTCTATATATTTTTCATAATAAAATATATGTCCTAGCCCTTTTGAATGCCATACTAGGAATTGTATTCTTTCAAGTGAATATGTAAAAAAAGGACTTTAGCTATAGATCATCGACATCTAAACTAAAATTTTGCAGTAATATTCTTTAATTTGTATCATTCGTTGCATAATGATGAACAGATATTGAAATTTATCCAATTCTCAATACTTCAATTGTTCTAACCTATCAGTTTGTGAAAATTATATTTTAAGTCGTATGATCTGAAATAGAGCGAGTTATTACAAATACATAGGAAAGAATAAAATCAAGTTTTCAGAAACTCGAACTCAAATAAAAGACATAAAACCTTAGCTTTAGTCGATATGAAAATGTTACACATCTAATAACATACCATCTTGTATAATCCTTTAAACTTGTTTTAAAATCTTCTTCATATTTTGATTTTAGATCAGGTTGACAACGTTGAATAATAACAAAAATAGGTGAACTAAATTAACAAAAAAAAAAAAATCTCAAAAAAACTAATTCAATCTAATATACACATTACTTTTCAAGTCGTTTAAGAAGATAATTAACATTATTGAGAAGAAATATTGCTCGAATAGTTGTATCATGACGTGACATATAACCTTCAGTTTTTTTCGATAAACTTGCATGAAGCCATCGAACCAATTGAGCTAAACAATTTTTTTCTCTCTCTAAGGAATTAATCTTCGAAAAAAAAAAAACTTCCCTACCAAAATATATTCCCAAATCATAAAGACCTTTTTCTGTTCCTGATAAACCAACACTATTTGTTCCTTATAAAACAAATAAAATTTTTTTTTTGTATGATTTCAAATATTTTTTTTTTACGCTGCTCTTGTTCAACATAAATCGAAGCAATTATAGTAGCTGTATCTTCATAGGCAAGTAAACCTTCCATAAAAGCTAATACATGTGATGTTAATGGATGAACATTACCACCTTGACTTGGTAATGATGAATCTAATCGAACTTCATCTAAAATTGCTCGAAGACAATTAACTGCCTATAAACACATAAAGAAAATAAAATATCAAATTTTTTAATCTTTCAATTAATTTATTTAAAATCTTACTGATTGTTCAAATGTTGCTGAAAGTGTTGTAAATTGTTGTCGTCGAGCAATATCACTTTCCTTTTTTTTTTTTTTTTATTGAAAATAAAATAATAAAAATTTATTTTTTATTAATTTGAAAAAATAAAATACAAAATAATATACTTGATAAAGTTTTGAAAATGTTGGTCGAGATTTTAAAAACCATTGTAAAATAGAAAATAATCCATAAACTGCAAATTTTCCTGCATCTAATTTATATGGTAAACGTTCAATTGATTCACATAAATTTAATGCAACTTCACGCATATGTACTAATGGTAATTCAATTAATTTTGTAAATACAAGTGATTGTAATTCTTGTGGAAAAACATAATTTAATAAATCACGATCACGTTGTAAAAGTGCAATAAATGCATCAAGTAATAATTTATAATTATTTGTATCATGATCATCACTTGTTTCAATAATAACTGTATCATCCATAGTTGTTACAGATGATGATAATGGAGAATTCATACCACGTGGTAATGTACTTGTAGCTGGTGAACGTATTAAACGACGACTCATTTCACTAAATTAAAAGAAAAACATTTTTTTTTCAATACGAAAAATATATAAAATGCTGAAAAATTTTTCTTTTAATTTCGAGGTAATTTTTCACTGATTTTGATGAAATTTCATACTGACGATGGATTTACAAGATGCAATCGTCCGTATCTTTTTCGAAATATTTTTTCTTCATTCAAAAAATGAGTGTATAAGATCATTCATAGATTTCAAGATATGTTTCATGACCAATTTATAGTTCTAAGATCATTCGTTACATGACATATTGAACGAATCGTTCAAGCACCCAAAGGTAACTATGAGGCTTTCATTCCCATATGCGATATGTGTAGGTTTGTAGAGTCAGGCTTTTTCTACGAATCTACACTTTCATGCTTACAAGCGAATAAAGTCCTCTATGTGTAGGACTTGATTAAATTGTACTTTGATACTCTCAATGAAATTCTCTAATCAGTCGCTGCAAAGATACGAAATTCTTTTGTTTTCATTCGATGATTAGCACACCTTACAGATTTCGCAGATAACTCGAATATCCGATCGGTTCTATCTATGTACTATGCATTTAATAAGAAAATCTATCTTTTTTCACTATAGGATAGAACTTATATTTCGAAGTGTTATTTTTGCATTGAATTTCTTGAATGACCTTTTAGAGAATGTTATCAAAAAACAACTACAATGGAACACTGTTTTAAACTGTTCATTCAATCTATGAACAATAAATAACTATATAGTAAAAAATTTATAGAGATTGAGATATTACAAATAAACGTATTTTAATAATCGATAGCTAATGAATCTCGTCTTCTCTTGGTTTTTTCTCTTATCACTATTATATTTTTAAATATGCTTCTTTTTTGTTCGAATTTATACGTGCATATAATAGTTATCATTTCCTAATAGAAGTAGTATATTTTTTATTGAAGATGTACAGTAATTCTGAAAGCTTGCTTTATGTGTACATCAATAATCTATGTGATTCGAATCGAACAAAAATCATCAGCATAATATACGCTATACCGATGATAGCTTAAACAGTTGTCTATTCTCTGACTGACAGCCTCTACTGCTGGCATACTGTTGATTCATATGAGTATTAAGTTAGTACGAACAAACGCGCGGTATGAAATCATACTTGAATATACTTAGTATTTTTGTTTATGATATGTATATGAAAAAAGTTTTGAAATAGATTTTTATTATCAACAAAAACAGGAAAATTAGCTTGTTCAATTGCATTGACTTGGGCATATGTCAATTTTTTTATCAGCTATAGTTATCTATGATGCATTTTATATGTAACGCTTGAGGAATAAAAAGATAAATTTCATTTTTATCTTTTATCGTTTATGATTGAAATATATTTTATTTTCAAAATAGTAAAACATTATTGACCTTTCGTTGTTGTTTTTTTTCTCGACTGACAAGACTTCAAAAACCAAATCAATTCTACACTTCTCTATTATTCATCAATTGAACATCGGTCTCAGTCAAAATGTGATTCAACACTTGAAGAGGCTTCCTCGTGAGATGCATCTTATTTGTCAATGTACAAAAAATTCTTGTCAACAGCATAAAATAGATCAACAAAATTCTTTAAAAAAAATATTTTTTTTTTTATACAAGATTGCATGTCTTCGTATTGCTTCGAATCTGGTGGGTTCTTAGTCGTCTGAGACATATGTAAAATGCGCTTAGTCACCGAATCTCAAAAATTGGAAAATTTCATTGTGATTATCAAAGTTCAATTTGACTGAGTCTGAACCCGATAAATCACATTCTTTTTTCTCTAATATAATTAGCTTCTCAATTAACTCAACTCTGAAATAAATAATCCAATAATGTGTCTATATATGTATAATACAAGTGTAAGCAAGAAGAAGAAAAAGCAATGATTATTGTATAACTTACGGTGTTAAAAACCGTCTAATACAGATGAAGAATTAAATAAAAAAAACAAGAAAGTGAAATCAGTATTTATTTACCCTAATCTTCTTCCTTGTTTTCTTAATGTATCTGAACTTGATTGTCCTTGTTGAGAAGTAGTTGGACTTGAATTCGCTAATATTGTTGATCCACGACGAATTGAATTTTTTCTTACATGTTCATCAAGACTATTTAAAAATAAACAAAAAATTTTTTTTTGTATTTAGTGCATTAAAAATAATTTACAGTTGAAGTGAACGTCGAATCATTGTACCTCTTTTAATAGCATAAGAATCAATAAGACCTTGTCGAAAACCATGTGAACTAAACCATTCAATTATGGCACGTAATGTAGCCATATCAGCTTCTAAAAAAAAGATTCTCATAGTATTAAAAAAAAAAGAAAATCATTATTTTATAAAAACTAACCTTGCATTGAATGAATATCATTTTTATTTGTTATACCTATTGTTTCACATAATTCAATAACTTCTTTTGGTGATAATGGATTAGCATATCTTAAAATAAGTTTATCTGTTTCTTCAACAAGACGTTTTCTTCCAAGATCATATAATTGTGTAACACGTTCACGTTCAGCAACAGCTGTAACACGTTTAAAATATTTAACAGCTTCTTCAAGACGATCTAATTCAGATAAATAATCTGTTAAATTTCCACCTGGACCTGATGATACAGTTGGTTTTAATTCACCACATATATCATAATAATGTAATATTGAATCAACTAATGTTAAACTTTTATTAACATTATTTAAAAGTAAACTTAATTCATTTGTTCCTTCATAAACAGGTGTAACAAGTTCATCTAAGGATTTTAATTTACGTTCAAAATTATCTAATGTTGCAACCATACCACTTGTTAAAACATTTGAACGAGTTAATGATTCTTGTAATAATGCTAAACGACGTTTTTCCTATTACAAAAAAAAAAATCAATTGATCTTTTTTTTTTAATAAATTATTCATTATACATATTGTATATTCAAGTTATAATTTTAATAAAGAATAGAACTTAAAGTATGACATATTGAATTATTAATCAATTAATAAAAAAAGCATTAGAATATTCTTATTTTGAATTTCTATTCAAATTTTTTTATGAGATTTTTCATTTTGATTATCATATGCATTTTCGATCTAAACATTTCTATTCAAATTCAAAAATCAATGTCTATTAGTATTGAAATCTTTTTGATTTTTCATCATTAATTTAGTTTCTATATGTCATCTGTCATATTCTATATAAATAAGAGCTCTTCATTAATACTTAGTATTTGATAATGATTTCCAAAGGTCATGGACTTCTGACATGACCAAATTTTTGATTATTTTAATAGAAAAGAAAAACATCTTGTTACATGAAACTTTTTCTTTACATGTATTGATTACTGTAACACGTATCTTTTTTTTTTTTGAAAATTATTGCACAATTGATTTTTGAAGGTCATCTATTTACTCGATATACAAAAAACAAAACAAGTAGACATCTCAAATAGTGTCTAAATGTATTCTATTATCTATTTTTGATAAGCTAAGTTAGCTGTAAAAATTTTCATAAAAAAAAGATATTCTGAAATTTATACAAGGTCAACATTCTTAACTTACTCCATTCGAGAGTTATAAGTAATTTCCTGAGACTATCGCTTTCAGTCAATTGAGTTGTAATCAATCGGAAAAATCAGCTAAACAGGGGGTAATTTACCATACAAAGTCGAATAATGATATTTATTTTTTACGTTCAAAATGATATGATTCCTTTTATCTCAATATTTCGTAATCAGCCTTCATATAACAAAAAAAAAAAAGTTTCAACTCTATCATATGTATTGTAATCTAAAAATTTCAAATATTTCTTATACATCATAATATGACTTCATCATTGCTTTAGATAATATTTTTTTTTTTGTTTCTTAATTTTTGGCATATTTCAAAATGATAGAGCAAGATCATAATTCTCACCTCTTGTAATTTCACATCCGACGTATGATGTATATTTGTCATTGATTCACCACCACCTATCATATTTTATTATGACATAACAATCTGAAAAATATTCATTTTTCGAATAAACAAATTCATATATATATATGTATATATATATATTAATAATGGAAATATGTTATACAAAAAACAAAAACACGAACAAAATGATTTGTCATGCAGAAGAAAAAAAAACTAGGAGATGTTCATTATTTTAAATAAGAATACATCCTCGTTTTTTCGCTTTAGGTCTTGGACATAAATGAGCACGTATAGCTTCATCAAACACTGTTTTTAAACCTTTTTGTGTCAATGCAGAACATTCAAGATATTTGAGAGCACCTATTTCTTTGCGCATTGATTCACCTTGAAGTGTAGAAATTGGTGATAATTTTTTCTCCTTGTTACAAAAAAAAAACGAATAGAAAAAGAAAAAAAGAAAAAAAAACACTATTTACTCGAAGTTTGTCAATGATGTTTTTATCATCTCGTAAATCAAGTTTTGTACCAACAAGTATGATTGGTGTTTCAGGGCAATGATGATTTACTTCAGGATACCACTAACAAAAAAAAACAAAATTTAATTAATATCAAACAAAATGAAGATAATACTTTAGCTCGAACATTTTCAAACGAAGCTGGACTAACAAGTGAAAAACAAATAATAAAAACATCCTTAAAAAAAAACAACGCTAAATATTTCTTATTGAAAATAAAGATATTTTACCGTTTGCGGATAAGATAATGGACGAAGACGATCATAATCTAAATATAACATATTACAAAAATTAATAATAATATGTAAGTATACCTTCTTGACCAGCCTAAATAATCAAAAAGATAAAGAAAAATAAAAAATTTTTCAATTTCTTCTTACTGTATCCCACAAGCCAAGATTAATTGGTTTTCCATCAACCATAACATTAGCTGAATAATTATCAAACACAGTCGGAATATATTCACCAGGAAATGTATTCGTTGTATAAGATATTAATAAACATGTTTTACCTACGGCACTAAAATAAACAATGAAAAATTTATTTACTAATAATTAAAAGAAAACTTTAATTGATTTACCCATCGCCAACTACAACACATTTAAGTGCTTGCATTTGAACTTTTCTTTTGTTTTTGTTTTTTTTTAATAATTAAAATGAAAAAATTCTATTGATAATTAACTATTCTAATGGATACTAGCATTAACATAGCATCTAGAAGGAAAAATGATACATTCTTGGATAGATAGGAAAAAAAAATAATGAATGTAGAGCCAAGCAAACAAAGAAAGAAAAGAAAAGAAAAGAGAAGAATATGAATGAATCATCGCATTAATCATGTTAAACATTGCTCATTCAATCAATCAACCCACTATTTAGATATTGGCCCAATCAAACAGAATATCATTCGATAGATAGACAGAGGTCGCATTTTTAAGAAAATTACCATTATAAGTCTTATATTGAAAGACAAAAGTCATTTTAAAGCAAATAAAGATCAATGAAGATTAGAGAAATCAAATTGATTTTAGATTATTACAAATTTTGTCTAAATAAATTCAATATAGTATTTTTTTAGCAGAAAGAAAAAGTAAATCGAAGATTAGTAAAGTGATAACATCTTGTTGTGTTGAAATATATGTAGAATGAATTGTTTTTTTTCTTCTATTAATAAAAATAAAACAAAAAACAATCTCTTTTTTTTTTACATATCATTCATCAATTATTCATCCTGTATTGAAATGAATTATAATTTAGAATCTCAAAAAAAACAGATCTTTTTTAAGCTTCGACTTTTTTTTCTTCAAAAAACTTAGATGAAGATTCATTAGCAGTTATTGTCAGAAGTTTCACATAACTTTTTATTTCGAAATTGTTTATGTAAAACTACATAATATTCATGTTATATAATTATTTACTCGTATAGCAGAGGTTCAAGTACTATATATAAATAAGCATGTTTAATATAAGAAATGTTTGAATAAAAAAAAAAGAAAGCATGACACAAGAGAAAGTCATCTTGACATTATTGTTATATGTCTTAGCAGTTTTATCATGCTGACTAAGTCTTAATAAACTGTTAAAACCAGTATTAAAAAATATAGTTTAGTACGTAGATGATTTTAGTATGCCATTTTCTTCTAGATTCTTATTTTTATCGTTTAAATTTGTATAACAATGACATAGAAATTTGAATAAATTATATATGCATTTCATTATGTAATGTATTAGGCGTTAGTTTAGGTAATAAATATGCTTAATCAAGCAACAGAACATGTCAGCACATAGCACAAGGCACTATTTCACAGATAGAAAGATATAAGAAACTAAATCATTAATGACAGATAAAGGCTTAGTCAGGATAATGAAAAAAATGTATTTATATATAGTACTTTACCTCTACTATACAGGCATATAATCATTAGAGTTCTTGATAGTTTCTAGAGGGTGAAGAAGATTAAAAAAAAAAGCTTGCTGTATAAGATTTTATCATTACTTCAACAAAATCTAACTAGCCATCACATATAGCAAATATTTTCTTGAATAGGAAAAATTGATTATCTTGCTTGTTTTACAAATTAGAGAAAAAAAGTATGTTTTGAGTTTAGTTCAACTGAGAAAAAAAAAATAATGAATTAATAGCATTGAAAACCTTATTTGATTTACCAACGAAAACAGAATGTTTACTGACTATACGTTTTGTGTAGTTATTATTTTCTTATGTAGGCCGAGCTTAGAAGAATGCTTATCTTAACAAGTATATGATTCTTTTAATGTTTAATCATCGCAAGATGCAGCATTTTTTAAATAATTATTTTGTTTTCTGACAATCGCAGTTCAATGGTTGAGTAAAATTCTTTATCGAATGATATCTTCCAAGTGTATTGCTGTCTTCAAAAGAAAATCAAAGTGTCCTATTCTTCATGAGCTTCCCTTATTATTATTATTATTATGTTTGCTAGATAAACATACACTTAAGATGAAGCCAGGTTATTTGTTGGACAGTCATATGGGTTTTCATATTAACAGGACCGAAAAAGAGATTTTTCTATTTAAATAGTAAAATAAATTATTCAACAACATCATCATTTCATATAAGGTCTATTCTGCAATAAATGTGTTATATTATTGAAAGTGAAAAATACAAAAAATCATAAAAATACTATAAAAGACACTTGTATAAGTAGTGATAAAGGGATTATTGAACTAGAGAAATATAATGATCTCCTGCAGATGTCACAATCTTATTGATTAATGATCGATTACATGTTTTTATCCAATGAATAGATTTCTTTTGAAACTAGTAGTTAAGTTATTTTAATTTGTCTGAAAATATTAACTTAGCATCACATTGTTTGTTGCTTTCATTGAGAACAACAACAATGACAAGAAAATCACAATCTAGTTCTTCTCATCCTCAAAATATATTGTTTATTCAACGTTTAAGCTCAGCACTTTTTTATGGTATTTGTTCGGGTTTGATTACTGTTGTTAATAAACTTGTTCTTACTTCATACGGGTATATTATTTATTAATCAAAAGATTTTATGAAAAATACTATCCTGTATTATACAATAGATTTCCTTCATTTCAACTACTTGCCATTGGACAGGTATGTACTAGTAATGATTACATAGGATTAGTAGTCGACATTATGTTTATTCTTATATGATAATATATGAATATATTTATTATTATTTAGTTAACGGTCTCTATTATTGTACTATATATGGCTCGTTTATTGAATATTGTTTATTTTCCTCAATTCTCTAGAGATATTTTTTATAAAGTAAATGTTATTGTTATTTTTTTTTTTTTGTAATAGAAAATTTTTTGTTCATATTATAAATAGATAATGCCATTGCCATTATTTTTCTTTGGTAATTTACTTTTTGGTTTAGGTGGTACTCAAGCAGTGAGGTATTGTTTTTATTTTAATATTGATAGTCTGAACAATTGATTAATAGTTTACCTATGTTTACTGCATTACGTCGTTTTTCAATTTGGATGACAATGATTGGTGAACAATTTATACTTCAGTAAAATTTTATTTTATGTATTTCAATGAAATTTTGGGTTTTTTTTTTCTTAGTGAAAAACAATCTTTTATAGCACAATTAAGTGTTTATTTAATGGTAATAGGTGCATTAATTGCATCAGGTGATGATTTAACATTTAATTTGTTTGGTTATGTATTTCTTTCAATAAATAATCTTTGTACAACTGCTCAAGGTGTTGTTATGAAACAAAAATTAGTTAATAAAGTAAAAAAAAGAAAAAAGGATTTATTTGATAAAATCAAAATAAAAATTTAAAAAATATTTTTATTTTATTTTAGGATTTTAATCAGAATGGTCTTTTATTTTATAATTCATTTATTATTCTTGGACCTACAATTCTATTAGCTTTGTTTACTGAAGATTTAAATAAAGTAGAAAATTTATTATTTGAAAAAAATTAATTCTTTTTTTTTTATCAAATAATATTAGGTTTGGAATTATAATCATTATAATGATATTGGTTTTATATTTGCTTTTCTTCTTTCATCATTAATGGGTTTTTTACTAAATTATTCTACTATGTTATGTACAAATTATAATTCACCATTAACAACAACAGTTGTTGGTGCTTGTAAAGTCTGTTTAATTAAATTTGCATAATTATTAAGATTTTTTTTTTTTTGTATTTTAAAGAATTTATTTGTAACTTATCTTGGAATGTTTATTGGTGGTGATTATATGTTTTCATTTGTTAATTTTATTGGACTTAATATAAGGTAGTTAATATCTCATAAACTCATAAGAAGAAACGAATATAATACAGATACTCATTTTATGCTATGCTCGTTGTGGACACGGGCATTCATAGTTAACTTACAAAATATTTTATATAAGAAAAAAATTTCAAGTAATCATCCATGTCCATGAATAGATAGGTCTTCTTTAGAATTTCTAGAAAACCATGTTTTCATAGGATTTTGTTTTTGAGTTTGATTGATTAGAGTGATATTCGTTAATTACTTTTGAATCAATAGTCAGCTGAAAG